TTACTCCAGCGCATCAATTCTGTAAAAATGCAGCAAGCTCTAAATTTAGAACTTGTCCATTTGCTATATTCATCCTCTATGTCCATAAAAGATTACCTGCTTTAAAAAATAGAGATGAATGACATTCCAGGCAGGGGAGATAGCATAAGCCAAGGCATGGGAAAACAAATAATACGGTGTGTGGAAAATGACAGCTCGCTCAATGAGCATAAGCGTGAGGTAGATTATAGCGGGGCTGAGGGAAGACATTACCGTGGCCAGGTCAAGAGGGCCTTGTGTGCTTCGCTGGAGGGTGTGGACTATCGAATGAGGTCAATTAAACACTGAAAGATTCCAAGCCAGAGGTGACATAATGAGATTTGAAATTATTTTTTAAAATCCTAGTGTCAATTGTTGAAGAAGGACAAAAACAGATGCAGAAAGACTAGTTAAGATGCTCTTGCAAAAACCCAGATGAGAGATGATGAAGGCTTGAATTAAGGCAGTGGCTGTGGGCATGTACAGGGAATACAGCTCCAGAACATTGAGGAGGCAGTATTAGTAAGATCTTATTGGACGTAGGAGGTGAAGAAAAAAGCAGAGTTGAGGGTGATTCCAAAATTTATGACACCAATGACTGCATGGCTGGTGATTCCACTAAATGAGGTCCGGAAAAGTCAGGGGTAAAGGGCAGAAGACTCATTTGATTTTTGTGGTATGGACAAGTTTACCAGATAAGGCAGCACTCAATTGAGGGGGATTCTCTGGGAGTTATTTTGAGCCCCCTGTTTCCTGGAATGGATGATCGAATTAAATGTCAGGTCTCTGAAGTTCTCTACAATTACTGTTTGGTTTTCTTGCCTTTGCTGGTCCTGGTGCACATTCAAGACACAAAGCCATGGTTGTCAGTGGTAGATGCCGCAGCGCGGCTGCCCTGGGGTCTGAAAGACTTCATCTCGCTCTCCTCCACTGCTCCGGACAAAGGCTGTCTTATCCACCATCTATTTCAGACATTTTCATGAGGGCCGGGGAATATTTTCAAGCTACCCCTTTTAAGCATTATCTCTTGGCAGTTAAGAAAATAGATCCATTGCAAGCACTGGAGTTTCTGAAAAGGGTTTTAAAAATAGCTCAGGGCACTAGACAGCTGCAGCTACTGGGAAATCGAGCCCTTCCCTTGCACTTTTGCTGGTTTCCATTTTAACCTTGCAGCTGGAAATTGGTAGCTCTTCCTCTGTTGCGAACAGATGCAAAAAGAGGAAGGGATGGGTCAGGGTCCTCTCTTGACTTGGGGTCACACTTGGCAATCTGTAAATGCTGAGAGGCAGCAGGGTAATGGAGAGCAGGGCATAGCAAACTCTTGGGTTTGATAAAGCCTATTCAATATTATGATATATCTTTAGATTTGGAAATGAAAAATACAAGCCTATTGGTGTTGTCATGCAAATTATAGGAAACAAACAGGGCAAAATTCTCTTGGCTGGTAGGGATAGGCAGAAAACGCAGTGACTGTTCATGCTGTGCTGGCTTCTCCCACGGAGCACTAGACATTGCTAGAGGCAGTGTAGCTGTTATCTCCAGGCCCATCTCACGGGTGTGAAAACTGGGATTGACCCTGGCTGAGAGGACATCCCCCAAGGGGGCTAGCTGGGCATGATGACAAGAGCTGTCTTTGAATTTAGTTAATAAATTCTGGCTGCAGTCTTATTTTGTAAAATAGGGACCGCACTTTGCTTTCACAGGGTTTCTATGATGATCCTAGATGAAAGTTTATGGTTGTTGAAGGCCCTCGAAGAAGGTTTAGAAGAGAAAGTTCTGAACATTAAGGTGACGCATTGCAACTTAAAGGGAGGCCTTTGCTAGACAAATGATCTCACAGGTTTTACTTCTAGATAACTCTTCTGCAGAAACATTGGCTCCTGTCCCAGAGATGTACGTACAAGGAAGTTCCCTGCAGTTGTGACTGCAACAGAAAAAGATGGGAAACGACCTGGATGTCCGAAGATAGAGAAATGGCTAAATATACATTGAGGTACATTCTTACAATGGACACCATGGAGCCATTGACAGAACGCCAAGGTTCTAGAAGGACCAGTATGGAAAGAGCCCTAAGACACAAGGTTAAATGAACAGGGGGAGTCTCAAAACAATATAATTTGATCTGGTATTTACAAATGAAGTGATATATATTGTAAATATAGGTATATATTTAAAAAACAATTTATATATTATATAAGTATATATTAAAAACCCAATCACATATTGTAAATGTATTATTAACTGTATTGAAAAAGCCTGCAAGGATTTGACACAATTTGTTAACATTGGACACCCCTGGGAATGGACTGGCATTGGGGAGAGGATAAGGAGGTGCAAAAGAGAACTTTTAAAGACTTTATAAGCACATTTGGTCTTTTATAAAGACGTATAATGAAAATGTATTTGTTTACTACTTAAGTATCTAAGTAAGACTATCAAATTGTTTGAAAAAATACGTAACAATTCCCAATGATGAAATTTCAGACACCAGTAAACAGGCTGTGTCCATTTTCCCTGAGAGCCGGGATCTCTGGGTTCTATTGCTTCTATCGCTGTCTCTGACGCTGGCTGTGTGATTTTAGACAAGTTGTTTTCTCTCTCTAGGCTTCAGTTGCCTTTTGTAAGGAGGGGCTGAACCAATTGATAAGCGTTTTTATTATTTACTTTTAAGTATCTGACCTCTCTCTGCAAATGCGTTGATGTGCGTGGAAGCCCAATATATGAAATAGAAGAAAGTGTGTCAACCGCCCCGCCATGTGTGGCCCGGATCCATTTCAGTGCTCACATTTTCTGACTCCAGTTAAATGCAGTGAAACCACATCCCCCAGTCAGAGCTGCACTGCCTGCCTCTCAACTGAGTGGAAAATAACTAGGTGATGTTAAGTGACCCAGCAAAGCTCACATGTACTAGTTGCTCTTGCAAAGTGTTTCCCTGAGCACTAAGCCCAGATGTTGGCAGCTGTCTGATAGCTCAGGAACTGTTTGGGCTCTAAGGAGCCCATTGCTATTTCTAGAAAATTCTGTGAGGACCTGGGGTCTTTGGAAGAACATCCATGGGTGCTTTTCGGGAGAATCAGATTCCAGGTGACTGTGCTCAGACCTCTCCAGCCCCAGCTCAAGCCCAAGCTTCAGCCCCTGACCCAGAGCCATGACTGTCGGACTACAGAAGGCAAGGCGCCTGGGGGAAGGGTGGGGGCAGGAGGAGGAGCCAGGTGCAACACACACCATGTTGTGAAATATGAGGAAGGCTCACCAGTGTCCTTTCTCTGCTTTGAAAGGCGCCATCTGGACTTCTGTGCAATTGGCTCCAGCCTCTCTGGCTATAACTGAGTAAATAGGATCATTTTGTCTCCTTTAGGGACAGGGCTAGACGCCCTATGACTCTCTGCATCTTTAGAGCCATGGACTGTAACGTCCCTGTTCTGAGTTATAATGAGCAGCACAGCACCCAGAATAGAGCCTGGTTCCGATGCTCATGGGATGCCATTTGCATCTGGCCCAGAATGGCAAGACTCACACTCAGAGGAGGTGGGAACAGAAGGAGCACATTTTCTAAAGAGGACCATTCAGAAAGTTTCCTTCCCAGCCCAAGTCTTCTCCATGGACGGAAGCGAAGGTTGGCAGCCAGTGTTTCCTGACTTTTCCTGACCATTTGTGGGATGGAAAACTAAGGACCTTTGTGCATGACCAGTTGCAGCCCAAGTCCCCACTCCCATCAAGACAACCCAGTCTGGGAGTCAGGAGACCTGGGTTCGAATCCCCGTTGAGTAACTTTTTCATTATAAGGCTAGTCACATGTCTTTCTTGGTTTTCAGTTTCATTTCATAAAGAATGTGGAAGTAGATGCTTTTCAAGGTCCCTGCCAGGCCCCACAGTGATGCTGAAGCTAGATTAAGAACCTTGACAGGGTTCCACTTCTTTAGTAAGAGGAAGGGAGTGAGCTATAATGGTTAAGGGTGTGGAGCCGGAAATCAGACTTCCTGAGTTTAAATCCTGATACTCCTTTCTTTGCTGTGACTTTTGAAGCAAGGATTTTGATGTGAGTCTCAGTTTCCACATTGGCAAAAGGAAGATAAGAGTTGCAATGACTCCATAATGTTATGAGGAACGCAAGAGATAACCTGCATGAAGCTCAGGACCTGACACGACAGTGTTCAATAATCCTTAGCTTAGGATTTTTATTCCTTCAGTCTATTATGGTGCAGAGATCAGAGCAAGTACTGGCTAAAATTCTTTCTTGATAAAACATCACACCTTACCATAGATTCAATCATACTATAAGCCAAACCATGTACCCCATAAATTTCATTCATTCATTCAATACTAATCAATCAATATTCATTGAATGTCTTAGGTAGGCATCCAGGGCTGAGGATGCAATAACATCAAAATCCACTCCAGAACTTACTCTAATACAATCATAATACAGGACACACCTTACTGAGTAAGAAGTGTTTGTTGAGCATTTATGAAATTCAGAGAAAGAGCTGTTCTGATGTCACTGGGGAGTCAACATGATTACTCATTTCCTGCCAATAAGGAGTTTAGAATTTCAAATGAGAAGAAAAAGATATACTTGTGAATTTAAGTGAATTTAAGCCCTCCCCTCTCCCCCACCCACACATAACCTCCTATGGTGACTAATTTGGACATTTGTGATATATACAGAGCATTTATGTGTCAGGAACTGTGTCTAGAGTATTCCATGCATTATCTCACTCAACCTCAATGAGGTAGTCCTTAGTATTAACTTCATTTTCACGAATAAAGGAACTAGTCTTAATGAGAGTAAATAACTTGTCAAGGGTCACATAGCTGCAAAGGACGAAGTCTGTTCTCACTCCCTGTACCCCACAGTAGCCATTTGCTAGGGCTGTCATAACAAAGTACCACAAATGGGAAACTTAAAAACAAGAAATTTACTGTCTCACAGTTTTGGAGGCTGGAAGTCCAAGATCAAGGTGTCGGTAGGATTGGCTCCTTCTGAGGCCAGTGATGGAGAATCTGCCCCCTGCCTCTCTCCTGGCTTCAGCCGGTTGCAGCAATCTTTGCTGTTCTTTGGCCTGTAGATGCATCACTCCAATCTCTGCCTCCGTCTTCACATGGCGTTGTCCCTCTGTTCATCTGCTTCTGTGTCTAAATTTCCTCTGTTTATAAGGACAGGAGTCATATTGGAGTAGAGCCTACCCTAATGACTCCATCTTAACTTGATCATCTATAAATTCTCTATTTCCAAATAAGGTCACATTCACAGGTCTTGGGGTTAGGACTTGACACCTTTTTGGAGACACAGTTCAACTTACCTTTGAGGCGTTGGCATCCCTCACGCACAGCTCTTCTACTTCCTTTCAGAGACAGCCTCAGGTAGCCCGAGTTTAGCTCCAACCCGGCATCCTAATTAGCTGGTGCTCATCTGCACTTGTCAAGGGTCGTTGGCTCGTTGAGGAAAAGCAGTGGTGCCAACCACTGTCCCCACTGGAATGGATCAGCTGCATGATAAAAGGATAAGTAAGAAAGGCAGGTCACCTTCTTCTAAGTGTAACTACACCAAGAAGAGTGTAACAATAACTACTTGTCGATCACTTACTATCCGTCAGGCACTGGGTTAAGTATTTTACATGCATAATCTATGTATTCTGCACAGCAACCCTGAGAGCTAGGTATTTCATAGATGGGGAAAAAACCAACAACTAAGGTTCATAGAGTTGAAGCTTTAATCCAAAACCACTGACTACAAGCCTTAGCCAACACAGTGTCTGGCATACAACAATTACGAAACATTAGCAAATATTTTTACTCTGTTGCCTCCTTTCTTGTGGGGCTTTGGGTTAAAATAACACTCTTTTCTCTCCTCTCTCTTCTGGTTAACTTGGAACCCTGCCTGGGCCTTATTAGTTCATACCCCGGGGCTGTGGATGAAGTCCGTGAGTTACAAGGGCAGTAGCCACAGGCAGTGTGGCCTTGGAACAAAGCTGGGCAAGGACGCAGGAGGAAGCCTGTCCCCAAGGGCGCACCCTGCACAGTTTTCCCAGGGCTGTGGGGCCTTCACACACTCTGCTACCTCACACAGGGATTGAAGTGAGCCCAGGCCTATTCTGGAAGTTGCTCCTGACTCTGCTGTGTAAAGCACCATTGTTTTAATTGTTTCAGAAAGTGGGCTGGGCAGCCTTTCCCAGGGGCTGAGTCCTTGGGCAGAGCCGCAGCGAAGGCCAGAAGCAGGGTCAGGGCTGGAGGGACCCAGGCCAGACCGCATCCTACTGCACCCTGCGCTCTCCAAAGATTTTTCTGATTAGAAAAGTAATCAGTGATTATTTTTCAAAAACTACAGAAGTGTGTACAATGAAAAGCAACAGTTCTTCTCACAATGCTAGCCTTTGGTGTATAGGTTTCCATAATTCTTCTATTCAGAAATAACAGACACATACATATCAATAAAAAGGCATGAGTATTATCTGTTTTTGCCTCTTAGTGTATGGGAACATTGTGTTCCGTCTATATTAAATTATTTTCTATTTAACTACTCTACAAAGTTTGATTGTTTCATTGTGTGGATGAAGCATAATTTATTCAATGATACCTTTTCATCTCCTGGCCACATAAACTAATTACTAAAATTCTGCGGCACACCAAAAAATATATTTTTTGCTTATCTGACAAAAATAGGTATAATTTTGAATCATTCACACCGGATGGCTATTGTTGTGTTGGTTGTTGTCATTTTTTATTTAACAATCTAAGGGAAAAGAAGTCAGTGTCCCCAACTAACTAGTCAGGTATGGCATGTTTTACAAATTCCTGAGGCACACTGGTTGAAAATCACTTAACTAGACTGTTCCAGGCTTTTATATTCTTTTTTATTTGTTATATTTACAAACAATATGTAAATAAAAATTCTCATACATAAGTCTTGGTTCTTCGCCCAATTATTTCTTCTTGATTAATTCTTAAACGTGGAGTTGCTGTATCAGAAGCTAAACATATTTCCAAGTTCAAAATTTTTGATTTGTATTTGCAGATTGACCCCCATAAATGTTAGATATGGTAACATTCCTACCAGTATTGAGACTAGTACCCGCCTCTGCCCACAAAGGATTATACATTTAATAAGAAAACGTTCCGTCTCATTTTAAATTACACTTTTTAAAAATCATGGGTGAGGTGGGCCATAGTTTATATTTCTGCTGATCTGTATTTCCTTTTCTGCAGTCGCTGGTGATGTTGTTTCTCTGCTGGGGTGTACTCATGGGATCCCAAGGAAATTCTATCCATAGCTTGTATCTGGATTTTTTACCAACACGGGATCCTTGCATGGTCTGGGGAAAGGGGGCCAGTGACCATGAGACTCAGCAGTCAGTTATAATCTTTCCTTCACTCATTCAGGACAATTCATTCATTTACTCTTTCATCCACTTGGAAATTATTCCTGCCTTAATCCTTTGCCCTGGTTTATTCATTTTTTCAAGTAGTTATTGAGCATCCGCTGCCTATGAAATGCCAGGTTCCCTGGGGTGTGTGTGAGGGGCGGGGACTTGGAGGGATATCTGCCATGGTCTAGAGTAGTCTCCACATCTAATGGGCACATCAGTCCTGTAAATGGTGTCCCAGGAATTCTGAGCCAGCCTGGTTGGTGGAGGAAATGTCAGGAGTGGTTGTGATCTGGGAGGTCTTCCCAGAGGTGGTGTTAGCAGGTCAGTTTGATTTTGGTATGAAAAGATGAACAAAGGGGAGAGGGAAGAAAAGAAAGGGGAGAGGGGACAGGGGACAGGGGACAGGGGACAGGGGACAGGGGAGAGAGAACTTCATAGGTGAAGAGACCAGTATAAACAAAAGCGGCAGAAGCCTTAGGCGGGTATGAGGGTGACTGGAGCCAAGGCCCTCATTCAAGGTGACAGTGGGACGGGCAGTGGTGTGTGTGCGGTGCTGAAGCATGTGCACTCACCTCTAACCCCCAGGAACGGGGGTAGGAGCTGTGCTTTACTCCCGCAGCAGCGTGAGGAATTGGAGGGGAAGAGGGAGCAGGAACTTCAGTGGAGCTGCAGGAGCAGCAGCGCAAAGGTGAGTTCTGGGAGAGGCTGAGTTCTGGAGGAGGGGCTGCGTGAGGAGGTGGGAGACCTGGGTCCACTCCACCCCCGCCCCCCACTTGTCTAGAAAGGGAGCTGCTTTCAGAAAGGTCAGAAGACGCCTCACAGACAGCAGGCCCCCAGCTCGTGTCAGTCCAGGAATCACAGCTCACTGTGGAGCATTACTTGTTTTGGGGTCTGCTGGGGCTGCGTGAGGAGGTGGGAGACCTGGGTCCACTCCACCCCCGCCCCCCACTTGTCTAGAAAGGGAGCTGCTTTCAGAAAGGTCAGAAGACGCCTCACAGACAGCAGGCCCCCAGCTCGTGTCAGTCCAGGAATCACAGCTCACTGTGGAGCATTACTTGTTTTGGGGCACTCTGCTGGGGGGGGGGGGTAGGGCACACTCTGCCAGGTGTGGGGGACTCTGCCAGGTGGGGGCGCCTATTGAGAAGGCATGATCACAGGCGACAAGGAAGGCAGCCAGGGTGAAGGCGTGACTGCACGCGAACCCGTGAGAGGAGAAGAAATGAGCTGTAGAGATAGTCTTCTTTCCCTTCGTTCTTTCTGACAGCTGCGGAGCAACCCCATCTTATGGCAGCTCCGTGATTTGTTTACCCGCTTCCTGATGGGTGAACACCGGCCAGTGTATTGCTGTGAGGCAGTTTCTTGGTAGGAAGAGCTCGTGTCCCGTGCATTTCGATAGCTTTTGCAGAACGGCCCTCCCCAAAGCATCCTCTTTAATGTTCGGGCAACTAAAGGTGCAGAGATGCTGTGTCACATGCCTCAGGCCGTGTCAACGATGTGATTTATCAGAATTTGAGGCCAGGTGGGTCTGTCTTCAAACCTCTTCTTCCATGATTCTACACTATACACTCCTGCAACGTTCCCCTGTAACTCTCACTGCGCCCTCCTGCGCAGCAGCCAACAAGAAGACCCTTCAATCAGGCCTCAGGCATCTGTTTGGAAGATAGCGAAGAAATGGGGTGGGCTAGGGTTCCACTCCAGGGTTGGGAGGGGGACAGGGCACTCCCAAAACCGGAGCCTACGGTGGCAGCTCAGTGTGGGGAAGGAAGCAGGCCGAGTCTCTGGGGAGTGAGGAAGGCAGCCCAGCCTCAGAGGGACCCTGGGGGCTTCCTGGGAGAACTGAGAAGTGCCCAGGCAGCCTGCACCGTAATCCAGAGAAGTCTTTATAAAAGGCGTGGTCAGCTCCACATGTGACATTTCCACCCCATACGGTGCTGGCAAGGATATGTGTGCGCTGGTGTCAAAAGCATTTTTCCTGGGCCCCTTCGCATGCAGTACCAATTCCTGGCTTCTCTCTCCTTCTGCTTCCGTGGGTCCCCAGCTCCCACATGCCATCCTGGCAGACTTGAAATGACAATTCATGAGGCTGGGAGCTTCTCACAGTGCGATGCAGCCTCCCTTGGTGCCTGCCCTACACGGTGCATTGTTGGGCGGGGATGGAGGGCCGGAGCCAGGCAACCAGGGCTCAAATCCTGGACCATTGTCTTCGGAAGCGGAGGTGAGTGATTCAAGTTATCATCACCGGTAAAATGAAGATTCTGATGTGTCAGTCATAGGGTTGCAGGGAGAGTTACGGGAAATTATCATTGTTTTTTATTTCCCAGACTCCCCAGGCTGCTGAGGTGATGACTTCTGACATTCAGCACAGAGGTGAAGGAAGATAAAAATAATGATAGCATTGAAGGAAAGCTGACTATGTGCTAGGCAGTATTCTAAAGTCTTTGCATGTATTGTATTAGTTACCTATTGGTCCATTACAAATTCCCCCCAAATGTAAGCAACAAATATTCAACAATATTTTATTCTATACATCTCCCAGTTTCTGTGGATCGGGTGTCTGGGAGCAGCCTAGCTGGGGGGCTGTGGCTCAGGGTCGAGTTTGCAGCCAAATGTCAGCCTGGGGCTGTGTCATCTGAAGGCTTGACTGGGGCTGGTGGATGCGTTTCTAAGGTGGTGCCCCTGATGCCTGGATGTCTGTGCTGGTTGTTGGCAGGAGGCCTCAGGGCTTCGCCATACAGACCTCTTCCGAGTGCTGTGTGTGTCCTCATGACAGGGCAGCTGGATTTCCCTGGAGCGAGTGCTCCAAGAAAGTTACAGTGACGCTATGACCCAGTCTCCAAAGTCAGTCTCCGTCCTTTCTCCAGATGCATAGGTTTGTCCAGTAGGAGAGGGGATTGCGCAAGGACACGAGTACCGGGGTGAGGGTCATGTGGAGGCTGGCTGTGCATGTGCTAACTCCTTTAACTGCTGAAATATGCCTGGAGGCTCAGTTAGAAGAGACCCAGGTGAAGAAGGAGATGCTGAGTGTGGGAGCTCCAGCCTTCAGAGGTTCTGGGGACAGCACTCCATGCCAGCAACAGCGACGCAAGCACGGTCCTCCTGTTCCACGGCACCAGTGTCACCAGTGGAGAAGCTGGGTCGGGGCAGTTAGCAAATTGTTCTTGGCTGTGTCCCTTCCAAGCCGGAATCATCTCTGCTGGAAATTCTGTGAGCTACCAAACATGGTATGTTTGCCCGCTTAAACGAATTTCATGGTTCTCTTATCTGCAGTGAACATTTGCAACAACTCTTACAAAGGGTTCCAAGCACAGGGACAAAGGATTCTCGCAGGTTCAATAATGGGATGGTCCCAGCACGCATCCTCTTCGTTTCATTAGCATAAACTTAGCACCTGGAAGAAAGGAGGTGAGAGTGTGTTCTGATTCTGCGCTGGTCAGAAGACATAAGGGCAGTGTGTCTGGAGGCTATTTTTTTCCAAGAGGGACAGTGACAAAGTGGAGCATGCCGAGAGGAAAGAGGTCAGGAGTTGTTTTCCCTGGAGAAGCGGAGAACTGAGGGGCCACGTGCGCTGTTTTCACACGTGTGACGATCTCCTGCGGTATCACGGTGCAGAGTGTGGGGCACACTCGGGTTCAAACCCTGGTCACTCTTCTGCGTGGTCCTGGACAAGACCCCTGTCACTCGGAGTCACTTACAATAACACCTGGGACATAGTCAATGCTAATAACTATGTGCCCCCTTCCTTTATCCTCAGCATCAATGAGGGTAACAGAGATTTGCAGCTGTTCTGAATGCGGAAGGCAGGCAGGGAGTGCCTTGTCCTCGGAGGAATCCAAGATGAATAGTCCACTGGACCCTCACTGAGCGCTTCTGGAAGGCTGTGTCCCAAGCTAAGCATGTTTCATACATTTTTTCACTATGCCTACTGGCAATCTTATGAAGTTGGCATTATTATGCCCCTTTTACAAATGGGAAACAGAGGCCCATCGAGGTTAAACAGCTGGGCATTTTAAGTGGCAATGTCAGAATTTGAGCCAGCTTTCTCTGCCCCGAGATGTCCTTGTAAACATTGTAGTCCGCTGAAAGGCGGGCGCGGGGGTGGAGGGTGAGGGTGGGGAGGGCCAGCGCTCAGAGGCGCTGGCGCAGAGGCTGTCTGGGACTCTAATGCCGAGCCTCAACATCCTCTGGTTTCCTCCGGGCTAAGAAACAAAGCTCTGGCTCAGGCTGTGCCTCAGCCCAGACTCCCAACCCCCTGCAGAACGCCTGGCTCGCACTGCACCTTCCCCTTCTGCAGCCTGGCAGGGCCCAAACAGCCAAGGAGCCTGAATGCTCCCCGAAAGCCATGGCAGGCCCGCGCGGTGGGGCTCGACAGCCAGCATTGTGCAAGCAGGAGAAGCAGGGCCCGGGCTCCTTTCTTTCCCGGAGAATTTCTGCGCAGGACAAAGGAAGCCATTATCCGCAGGGCTGCCAGGCCTGCTGCCCAGGCCTGTGGCCCAGGTGTCACATGCTGTCCCGTCTCCCAGCCTGCTTTCTCCCTTTGTCTGTGGGATCACAGAGTCTTGGCCCTTGCTCCCTTCTCTGACACCTCCCGGCCCCCTTTGGGCTTCGGTCTCTGATCACTGTTTTTCTGAAATGAACTTGAATGCACGGGAGACGTGAAGAGACCAGAGGCAGCTGTGCGGGAGCTTTGGGCTGCTGCTGCCACTGGCTCCCCATTCTAGTCCTGTGGCCAAATCTAGACCCCAGCCCTGGGGGTGGGGGGCTGGCGCTCTGCCTGGTTTTGTACCAGGCTCCTTCGGGGATTTCCCTTGACTGCAAAATACAGCCTGAGCTCCCTGGCTGGGCGGCCAGGCTTTCGTGCACTGGGCGCTGTCTCTCTCGCCTTCATCTCTCTCCCCACTCCTCGCTCCCATGCACAGCAAACCAGAACCAGCTTTGGGAAGCTTCTTGTCAGCCAGCACACATTGCCCACCTTGGTACCTTCACCATGCTTTCCTCTTCACTTAGAATCCCATCCCACCCTCCTGCTGGCTAAGACTGCCTCACCCCTCAAAGCTGTCCAAGAAGGCCTTGGTCGCCTTCCACTGTGCCCCGTTAGCTCCTGAGTTGACACATTCAACTGCTCCAGGCCAAAGGTGACATGGTGTGCTGGTTGCGAGAGGGGCATTGGTTCAAGTCCCAACTCTGCCATTTACCAGCAAGTGACTTTGGACAAGTCATGTAATCTCCCTGGGCCTCAGCTTACTTACCTAGGAAATGGGATGATTGAGCTGCTGTCAGGATTAGTGAGATCACACCTGTGGTCATTGCAGCCCCGGCACATACTGAAATGGAGCTGGCCTATTTCCATCATTCAGTAAAACACTTATTAGATGCCCCCAGTGTGTTGGTATCTGGGCTAGGCTGGGGAGACACAAAAAACAAGATACATGTGGTCTTGCTGATCAGGGAAACAGGCAAACAGAAACCCAAGAGACCTCACAGCTCCTGGAATACAGATTGTGGGAGGGATGGGTTGAGGTTCTGCAGAATCAAACCTGGAGAGGGGAGTGGCCTGAGATGAGATTCTGTGTCCATGTTGTTGGGGGGAAATCCTGTACCCCATGAAAGGCTGGGTTGAGGGGTTGATTTTCTGTCATCCTTCACCCCTGCTCCTGGCTCAGGGTGAACGGAGCACAGAACTCCAGGTTTGAATCAAGTCTCCTTCTTGCTTCATCAGATTTCTGCTTCTCTCTGGGGCCATTCTTATCAGCATGCAAGCACGTGGTAATATCTCTCATCTTCAAAAACAAGAACAGAAACTCCCTTGAGGCCACATTCAGCTCTACCCCATGTCTCGGCTTCCTGTTCTAGATTATTTTCTCCAAAGATTGGCCTATCCCCAGATTTTACTCCTCCTCTCCCACGTCTTCCTCAGTCCTCCTACATTCCTTTCATGCCCATCGAACATATCTGATCAAGGTCCCCGTGACCTCCATTTTGCCCAAAACACTGGGAAATTGTTATTGTCATTTTACTGACGCTTGGATGGTGAGTTGACCAGCTGATCACTTCCTCACTGTGTTAGTTTTCTGCAGCTTCTGGAGCAAATCACCACAAGTTTTGTGACTTAGAACAACTCGGGTTTATATTTGACGGCTCTGTAGGTAAGGAGGTGGAGGGGGGTCTTGCGAGGCAAAGATTCTGGAAGAGCTGCACTCCTTTCTGGAAGCTCCAGGAGAAGAGGTTTCCTGCCTGTTCCAGCATCTAAGGCTCCTAGAGGCTGCTCACCTTCCTTGGTTCGTGACCTCCTTCCTCCACCTCCAAGAGCGGCAACATGAATTCCTCTGACGAGTCTTCCGTAGTCCTGGCTCCCTCTGGCCTCAGCCAAGAAAGGTCCTCTGCTTTGAAGACCTACCCAGGTAATATGGGAGGATCCTGCATCTCAAGGTCCATGACCTTGGTTATACCTGCGATGTCTCTGCCAGGTTGGGTGCCATTTACAGCTCCGGGGATTAGAATGTGAATATCTTTCAGAGGCCATCATCCTGCCTACTGCATTCATTCTTAAAATTTTTCCTTCACTTAGCTTCTAGAACTCTGCTCTTTCCTTGTTTTCCTCCTTTTCTGAACTTAGTTTTAGCCTCTTCACTGCATCTTCCTTCTCATCTCAACTTTTAGATGCTACCGGGACCAGAGCTCAGTCCTCAGACCCCTACACTTACTCTCTAAAAATCTCATTCAGGCCATTGGCCTTGCACGTGTCCTCAGCTTCTTGTCTCCTCCTGAGCTCCAGGTTCAAAGACCAGTAAAATACCTGCTTCTCATCTTCTCTTTCCCAGATAAATGGCATTTCCATGTCCAAGCTGAACTCTGAATTTTATCCAAATATCTTCTTCCTCATCTTCTTTACCTCAAAAGAAACACCGCCCTTAGCTCTGGCCCAGAGCCTGGGAGTCATTCTTGAGATGGTTCACTTTCTCACACTTCACTTTCTATTTAGCAGCAAGTCCTGTTGACTATTCCTTCAAAATAAGTCTGGAATCCACCTCTTCGTCATCACTGACACCATCAGCACGCTGGTCCAAGCCACCTCATCCCACCTGGGCCACTGAGCAACCTTCTAAATAAGAGCCTGCTTCCACCGGCTTCCCCCATCCCACCCCCACCACCAGGTCTCCGCACAGCACCCAGAGTGAAGCTTTCAAACGGAGTCAGAGCATCCCCTTCCCCTGCTTAAGCCCCCTCCACTGGCAACAGCTTCCCATCCCTTCTCATAAAATGCAATATCTTTGCCATGTCTCCCTGAGCCCTGATATCAATCCAGTTCTTCCACCGTGACCTCCTCATTTCCGGCACCCCAACCCTACGGCTGCCTTGCTGTTCTTCAAACACACTGAGTATGTTATTGACACCAGGTCTTCACACTGGCTGCTCCTTTGCTTAAGAGTCTCTGCCCAGATATCCATGCTGGCCTCTGCTTAAACATCACTTCCTCTAAGAGGTCATTTTGCATTATTTTCTTTGTGTCATACATTTATTTGTTTATTATCTCTCTTCCCCACTAGAACATAATCTCTGGGAGGGCAGGGACTCTGTTGTCTTGTTCATTCTGGATCAGCAGCATCTACAATACGACCTGGCATGTATATAGTAGGCATCCAACATGCTTGTTACCTGAATGAATGAGTGAATGAATGAAGAATGAAAAGGGAGGCGGAGGTCAGCCTGGGGCAGGGGCTCCCTGTCAAGAAGAACATGCGGGACTCAGAGATGGGAGGCAAGGCCTCTGAGGGAGACAGTCTCCATGGCAACAGTGGCCAAGAGGCCCAGTGGCTGCTCTTGGGGGAAGGCCAGAGGAGGCAGGCGAGCTGACAGCTCCTATGGGGACACCAGGGGAAGCAGAAAGTCAGTGCCCAGGCTGGCATCCAGCTCAGACACCGTGACTCCTTCCCGGCTTCTACATCTTGGCTCTGGCCTTGGCAGACCCAGCAGATGGGCTCCCAGCAGGGACCCGGGTCTCACCCGGCACAGACTCTGCTAGTGCAGGACAGGTGCCCAGTCTCCTGCTCTTAGATGACAGAGGCGCCCAAAACCATGTAATCCCGGTTCAGAAAGCTTAAAGGCACCCCACCAGGTAGAGAGCAGCCCAGCAGCAGGGCCGTAATGAAGGCACAATAACCATGCTGCCTCGAGTGGTAATAGGAATAGTACAATCGGAGCGGCCAGCCTGCCTCTCCCTGTGTGCGGGGGCGTCACTTAGCTCACCCACCTACTCCTCACAGCAACTCTCCGAGAAAGGGGTGTTTGTCCTCATTCAAGAAATATGCCAGAGAGGTGAAGGCGCTTGTCCAAAGTCACACAGTGCAAGAGCGCTGGACTGGAGACTCAGTAGCCCCTTGTCCTTCTGTTCCTCTCTGGCAATCAGCATGGGCCCCACCTGCACCTTCTCCTTAAGCTGCCACCGTGGGAACCTTTCTCCCCCATGTAGCCATGGCACCGTGTATCTTGTCCTCTGTGTGCCGTTGATTCCAGACCATTTTATTTTAGAAATAAATACACATCAGGTGGGCAGTGATGAATAGTAACAGCTCTAATGTGCTCTGCATGCATAGACCCTTTCAGTTCTCACAAGTACCCTCTGGGGTAGTAAATGCTATTGTACCCATTTTTCAGATGAGGAGACTGAGCTATCCCAGGTGAGTGAGTGGGGTGGAAACCAAAGCCATCTGACTCCAACTCTTAATCCCTGGTCTATACCAAGTGATTAGCTGTGAGAGAGGAACAGACATGGTGCTATGGGGATGCAGAGAAGGGAGTGACATGTTTGGGTGGACTCCCATGGGACAAAGAGGATATAAGGACTTCACCAGGTAGAGGAGACAAGCACAGTCAGAGGAACAAAAGTCTAGACCAGTGGTCGGCAAACTCATTAGTCAACAGAGCCAAATATCAACAGTACAACGATTGAAATTTCTTTTGAGAGCCAAATTTTTTAAACTTAAACTATATAGGTAGGTACATTGTTATTAATTAATTAGGGTACTCCTAAGGCTTAGGATGAGCCACACTCAAGGGGCCAAAGAGCCGCATGTGGCTCGAGAGCCGCAGTTTGCCGACCACGGGTCTAGACAAAAGCACAGAGGCTCTAAGGTACAGAGTGAGTTCATGTACATGATGGTTCTTAAGCTCCTTGAAGGCAAGAAGAGTCTTATTTACTCCTCCATAAATATTAGTTGAATTAAAAAAATTAAAGATTTCATCTGGCATGGCTCTCAGCTTTGGGGTGAGACAGGAAGAAAGGTGCATTTCTTTTTTTCTTTTTTTTTTTAAATATATTTTTATTGATTTTTTTTACAGAGAGGAAGGGAGAGGGATAGAGAGTTAGAAACATCGATGAGAGAGAAACATCGATCAGCTGCCTCCTGCACACCTCCTACTGGAGATGTGCCCGCAACCAAGGCACATGCCCTTGACTAGAATCAAACCTGGGACCTTTCAGTCCGCAGGCCAACGCTCTATCCACTGAGCCAAACCGGTTAGGGCAAAAGGTGCATTTCTTGAGCTCCTCGAAGCGCCAGGTCCTTTCGTGTGTGTATGTCAGGCAACCCTCAGACAGGCCTGTGTGGTAGCATCATTGCCACTTCTCAGACAAGGAGACTGAGGCGCAAACAGGAAGTGCCTCCCACTCACTTCCCTCAGACCTCAGAGCCCATTTCCTCTGCTCTTCCCAGGCCTCTAGAGCCGTTTCCAACTTTTGAGGTAACAACTGTGAAACCCGGGAAGGAGCGTCTGTGACATAATTTCCTCTCTGCTCTGTGCATTTCCCTTCTCCCCTTCCCCTCGTCCCTCTTCACCTACCCAGGCACTGCGCTCCCGGGACCTAGCAGTCCACTGCCTTTCCGAGTCATGTGGGTGATAGGACTTTCAAGGGAATAAACATTTTTAAAACACACACTAAAATTTACTTTAGTATTCCTTTTTCTATTACAGACCATTCCATGTTCGTTGTTGACAAAGAAGATTCAGAAAAGCCACGTGCCCACTGTGTGACTAGGGGCAAGCTTCAAAGGCAATGAGCCTCAGTCTCTAAAAAACATCAAAGGGGAATCAAAATTATGCATCCTGAGTGCACAAAGACTTTTATGTACAGATCTGCTCATCACAGCATTGCCTGTGCTCTTGAGAAGTTAGAAACCAACCCTGGGTCCATCAATAGGGGATTGGTTAAATAAATTTGGTACATTCACATAAGGGCCACTAAAAAGCATAAAGCCAGTCTATAGTCATTGAGTTAGAAACTTCTTGGCTTACCATGGAGTGACAAAAGCAGTATTATAGTGGATGTAATGGATATTTTCTGCTTGCCTCTCCTACTTGCTCTGTTTTTCTCCACCCTGCTCTGTGTCCTGTGGTATTG